CTGCCTCCACCCCCGCCACAGCAGAGCGCGCACAGATAGATGTCGCTGTCATCCTTTCACGCCGTCACGCGGCTCCCAGCCAGCGCCTCAATCCGCCTCCCAAGCCGCCCCTCCTCCGCCCTCAGGGCCCGCAGCCTCTGGCGGTTGAGGCCGCGAACCGCCTGCAAAACTGAGCCGTCGGCGTCTGACGGCGCCAGCGGCGTCGACGCCGCGGCGGCGGCGGCGTCCTCGATGCGCGATATCAACCGGCGAACCCGGACGCGCTCGGCCCTCAGTGCCTCTGGCGGGCCTGGGGGCGGCGAGGGTTGCGCGTGGGACCTTTTTTGGGGGGCAGCGGACGCAAGGGGACTGACAGGCTCTGCAGCCGCAGGTCAGGAGCAGCCGCGGGTGACGCTTGTGGACAGCCCTCAAATCGAAAACGCCGCATCGTAATGTGTGACCTCGACTCCGCCGTCCGGCCGTTGTCAAAACAGAAAGGTGCGCGGCTCGAAATAATTCTGCCCCCAAAACCATGGGGGGAAAGGGCCCCGTGGCGGCAGCCCACGGCCTGATGCACCCCCCGTCACCCACCGTCGAAGGGCGGCGGCTCGAGCCAGGGCACCTGATCGGCGTTCTCGAATTTGAAGCCCGCGGTGTCCATGCGCGACAGGGGCGGGGGCGCGCCGTCGGCCGGCTCTGGCGCCGCTAAGAAGCCGTACTGGAAGAGGGCCTGCACGCACGCACGTCAGCAGGGTCGACAGATACAAGTCTTGCTGTGTGCCAACCAACTGGCTGTCTGTCCGACAGATTCAGCCAGTGATGGTGTGTATCAATTTCAGTTTGGGGGCTAACGCTGCTGAGGGTATCATGCATGGAATGATATCAAAGAGGTGTGAGCAACAGGGGCTGGGGTTGAGGTTGCGTATGTAGGGGGGGGGGCAAGCTGCAAGAGCAGGGGTTTATCTAGTATTGTAGCAGCACGCGAGGCGCTGCCGCAAAAAGTAACACAGCCCTGGGACAGGAAGCACGCCCGCTGGGCCCCTTTACCCACGTCGTCGGGTGCGAGATGGTGGTACCGCAGGCAGACCTCCTGGCCTGCCCTCATGGGCCCCCCGGCCCGGAAGAAGAAGCACAGCTGGTCGCGCTCTGATTGAAGCAGCCATCAGGTGATGTGTCGGTCGGTTGGACGGTGGGTTGGTTGGTTGGTTGGTTGGTTGGTTGGTTGGTTGGTTCGTTGGTTGGTTGGTTGGTTGGTTGGTTGGTTTAAAGCAGCTCGCCCCAAGCGCTCCCGCCCATGACGGCCGCACGCTTCTGCTTTGCCCTTCCCGCGGCCAATGACCAGCCCTGCTGCCGCGCGCCCCTCCGAGGGGGCAGGAGTCCCCTCCAAGGGCGGAGGCACACCCTGCCATGGGCCCACATCGTCCTCATCCACTCACCGGTCGCATTGATACAGCGCCGCATGTCTGCGCGCGAGAGGCGGTCCCCCACCCCCAGGTCCATGTCGCAGGGCCGCAGCTCATACCTGATAGAGACACGCAGAGATACTGTAGATGAGAAGAAACTCATCATGTGACTGCATCGCTGTCGCTGATCAGAGGGCCTAAAAAGCAGCAGTGCAGGTGTTCCTGGTGCCCTGCCGGCCATCCAGACATTTGCGGCGGTCCTCACATCTGCGGCGACAGCGGCGCTCGCGCGGCGCCCATCCCGCCTCTGCCGTGCTGCTGGCAGTGGTGCAGACACTGGCGCTTGGTCGCGGCCGGTGACCACTGCCCGCCGTGCCGCCTGCCTGCACGCGTGTGCAGCAAAGCCAAAAACGGCGGCCGCAGTCGCGCGAGGCGAGGCTCGCGCGCGGCAGCTCTGTGTGTACTTCGCCCCGCCCCAGCGCCTCACGTTGTCGAGCAATTATTTGCGTGGTTTGCCAGCTCAAGGACGGGCACCATCGCCGTGTCGTACCGCCCCCTGTGGCTGGCCTTGAAGGAGCGCGTGGAGTGGGTGACGACCGCAGCCCCGAGGTCTTGAAGGGAGAACCCCTCCTGCACCAGCCGCGCCCCGTTGCTCGCCCTGCGGCGGCGGGGTTCGTCGATGCGGCCCGCACACGCTGCATTTGTCTGGAGCGTACGCACAGCCAAAAGGAGGAGCGACCCGCTGCGGGGTTGAGAGGACTTTGTCGCGCCCAGCCAGCGCCCCTGGGCGTTGGGCGCCCGGACTGACAGCTGTCACGGCGTGGCTGGTGCATGCACGCCACATGCATCTTCATTTCACATTACCCATGCGCGTCACAGAGCCAACGAGGGAGCCGGCAGCAACGCTGCCGGCACGAGCGCAGGGCCCAATACCGGGCAACGCACCTGCCCAGCTGTCAGGCGGGCAAGTGGGCGGAGCCCCACAGTCCGGGGCCCTCAACGCGCGTGACAACTTGGCGCGCAGGACACATGCACACACGTACTTATGCATGCAGCTGAGCGACAATGGCATGCAAATTTCTGCTGCCGTCCGCGCAGCCAGGACAGCGCTGCCCCTGCAGCCGCAGGCCTTGGCCTCACCAATACTGGGCTACCTTTGCCTGGCCGTCTAAAATGTAGTCGGCCTGCAACGGTTTTGATCGCACGTTTGGGAGCGGCGCCGGCGACTCTCTACATGCCCTCAGCACGCCAACTCGCATCAAATCACCCACCCATCCCCGTCATGCGTGGCGGGCCCACCATGTCTGTCGACCCCAGCAGATGGAGGTAGTCACTGGGGAAGCTGCCGAGAGAAACCGCGGTCGACCCCGGCCTCAGTGTTGGCAGGCCAGACAGCCACCGCTGGTGGCGGCCGCCCGGCTCCGACGCCGCTCGCAGGATGATGGCGCCGATCTCTGGGTACGATTTGTCAGTATACACGGGAAACCTGCAGAAGGTATGTGGAGCACGTACATATATACTTCCGTGCATGTGTACAGGCCGGCACAGACTCTGATCGGATGACCATCTGAAGGTTCCGAGGAGGTTGGTTGGTTGTGTTGCATGGGTGACACTGCAAGGCACTCCGTGTGGCACGCTAGCTGCAGTTTTCAGTGGCTTTGGCGGCGAGGAGGTGAGGGGCCCTGGGCGGCCTGATAGGATGCCGCGTCCACTGGATGTCATGGCATGACGGCCATCCGCAGCCAGCAAGCAGTGAGCCTCGCTGACACCCACCAGAGGGCGAGGCTCATGGGCACCTTGATCAGCAAGTCCCCTTTTGCGGCGATGTCCTTGGCAGCATACATGCCGCGCAGCCCGCCGCTCGTCATCACATTCACATTGACCTGCGAGGCCATGATGGTTTGGGCAAGGAAACGGCCCCGGGGAGGGGAGGAGGGGGCGAGGTTGTGAGGGAGCGAGTGGGTGATCTGGTGCCTGCTGGTCACCTGGCCCGGCAGCGCCTGGTTGGGTGGCCGGGCCGCCTCGCCGGCAGCAGCCTCCCGGAGGATGACTGCCGCCGCGCGCCTGCTGCCCTGCTGCCGGCTGGTACTGCAGAAGCCAGGCTCGCGGGCCGCCCAATTCCCATCCTCCCTACATGCGGGCAGCAATGCGGTGTGTCTCCGGGACGCAAAAAATCCGATCAAGGGAGGCCCGACGTTACCAATTCAATGCCACGTATGCACGCACCTCGCCGCCGCTATTTCTGACCCACTCAATGAGCTCTGCGTCGCTCGCGCTGGCCCCCTTCCCCCTGCGAGTGCCTCCCCCGACACTGCTGCCCGTGCCTTTGCTGGCCCGGAGGTTGCAAAAAAATAGAGAGGCCAACCCCAGGGCGACGAACAGCAGCGCGGCGGCGCCCAAGCTGGCGTGCTGGTGCTGAGGGCCCGCGGTGCCCTTGCTGTTGCGCCGCATCAGAAACATGCTGGCGGTGAGGCGTGCACGAGCAGGCACAGAGGCATCCGAGGTTGGTCGGGGGCGGCGGCGTGGTGCGAGCGGGCCAAGCAGGCTTGGGAAAATGCGGGCCAGCAATCAAAGCGGACAAGGGGATGTGAAAGTTGGAGCGCCGCAGGTTGGAGCGAGGGTTCAAGCGAAGAAATGAGTCGACGGAGTCCGAGGGCAGTTGAGTTGGCGTCCAAGATATGTGTGCACGCGGCCGAGGTTGGTCTCATGATATGGTAGGGCACCGCTGTGCACGCGGATGGCGATTTGGAGATACTGTGCTTACAATTAAACAAGGGTATGAATGGTTGCACGAGCGGTGCACGGGTCAGGTGGAGTCTTAGCAAGGTTCTGTGCTGACATTGCTTGGCAGTCATCCAGCTGGGTCGCAGTGTTGACTGTAATTGGGAAGGCGGCCTCTTGTTGGGCTGTGTGGGCACTCAGCACCAGTATTTACAGCTTATGATATTCATGGCTGCCAGTGAACCCCTCCTAGCTGCAGACCGCACCAGGCTGCAAGAGTGCAATCTGATCATGCAAGTGCTGATGCGCTGCAGCAGGTCACCGGTTTTTGATGTTGGTTATCCGCTGTGTGGCTCATAGCGGGTGTTTCAGCCCATGGAGCGCTACTTGCAACCTTATCCGACTTGTATGTCTAGTTTTTGTTTTGGGTGACATCAGCGCGCGGTGACTGCGTCCGTCAAGTGATCATCACGGTGACGAACGCACCCGGCACACGATGGACGCAGCTGCTACGGTACTACAAACTAGATGTTACACTAGACGCCATACATATAGTGGAGACAACATTTTTGATCAGTCCACACATGTGAGGGTTGGTGCGCTACCAAGATCTCGAGCACGGTACCTGCGATCTTAGTCTGCCAGCGTTCAGCACGCTCCGGTGTGGCAAAAAGAACTTGGATTGTAAGTTCAGCAGCGCCTACCAGTGGTGGCAGCATCATGTCCGTGCTCGTTGCGGGGGACAGCGGCGCCACCGCAGCGGCCGTGATGCGCACAACACCCCAAGCCTTGACTTTCCTCCGCCTCACTCTTCCCCTTTCCATGCCTGCAACAAGACTTCGCTTGATCCTGCTCTTGGCAGGTACACAACTATCAACACCGCCCTTGAACGCCAAGATGGCCTTTCCTGCCGTGCCCAAGCGCACCCTCGGCAAGCAGGTGGGGTTCGCCAGAGCAGCATCCTGCCTCATTGCTTGCAGAACCCCACTTGCAGCAGCGACAAGCCCAAAGTTGCAGCAGGGCTCGTCGCGCCACGCGTGCTGTTCACTGGCCGCACCGCAGGCGCATCGCAGCTGTCGGCGTCGTCCCCTCGCGTCGGCTGCTGCAGGCGGCGCCGCTGCACGCGTCCCTGGGTCAGTTACCCCGCACCCACCCTCAGCAGATGCCCTCCTACACAGAGGGCTAATCCTTCATCATCCCTGCGCCTCATCCCTCCCCTGAAGGCCCCCGAGGTCCCTTCCACAGTTCATACACTCTCACGACCCCCAGTGAACAGGCCCAAGCCAACCCAACGACTGGCCCCACATTCAAACCACCCGCTCCCCACCCCAAAACATACAAAACCCCAGGGCTTGGAGGTCTCCGCCCTGGGGCTGGGCTGCATGGGGCTGTCGGCCTTCTACGGGGCCCCCACAGAGGAGGGCGCGGCGCTGGCCGTCATCCACCGCGCGCTGGAGCTGGGGGTGACGCTGCTGGACACCAGTGACGTCTACGGCCCCTTCACAAACGAGGTGGGCGGGGGTGGGGTCGAGGGGTCGAGGGGTCGAGGGTTCGAGGGGCGTGGTGTCTGCGCCAGCGTGACCGATGTTGTTGGACGGAGCTGAGGGGCTTGGTGCCGGTTGGTCACAAAAGCCAGGCGGGCAAGCGTTTGAAACATGCAGGACTGGCGATCAGTATTCAAAGAGGCCGCCAGAGCCTGCGCAGCCGCAGGCGGGCGCAGCATTTTGGGGGTGCAGGGAGCAGGACTGCGTGCCTGTGTGGCACTGCTGTCCTCAGCTGCCCTCTGTTTGGGCCGCACAGGGGGAAACGCTGTGCGGCCCAAACATCGCCATCTGCGCTGACGTCATCAAGGGCCCAGAGGGTGGCGGCGTCCCAAGTCCATCGCCATCCGCCGGCCCTGTGCTGGCGCTTTCGTCGGCCCCTGCATATCACCCCCTTTTCGCTCCGTCCGCGCCCGCCACCGCGCCCCCTCCCTCAGGAGCTGGTGGGCCGCGCCATCAAGGGGCGGCGAGACCAGTACACGATCGCCACAAAGTGCGGCATCGTATTCGGGTGCGTGCGCCTGGGAGCTCCTGGCAGCTGCCCCCCGTGCATGGCGCCGCTTGCAGCCGCTGCCGACGCTTATGACCCGCCATTCCATGCAAAAAGCACCTCAAGCCAAGGCAGGGTCTGGGTCGTTCCTGCGTTCTGGGTTTGATGCCCGCCGACCTGCACAGCTGGCCGGCCGCAGGGCAGGCGCCGCGCACCCTTGCGATTCGCGTGCGTCGGCATCGCGTAGCCCCACCCCGGCCCTCTCTTTCATACTCGTCTCCCTGCAGCCACCGATGCTGCCGACCCCTCGCCTGGCGCTTTGCGTGTGTAATTAAAAGTGTGCTGACGGGACCTCCCATTGAGCGGCTGTTGGAGCGGCTACTGGCGCCGTGGACGGCTGCCCACGCGCGCCCCTCGCCTGCGCCACCCCCAAGCCTCGAAACCGTTGCACCCCTTCTGCCCCCCCACAGGAAAGATGGCAGCCGTTATTTCGACGGCAGCCGCGCCTACGTGCGCGCGGCGTGCGAGGCGTCCCTGAAGCGCCTGGGCATCGACACCATCGATCTCTACTATCTGCACAGGTGGGTTGGAGGCCTGATGTTGTAAACGAGTTGGGCACTCAGCAATTCGATCATGATGTCGGTACCTTTCTCCAAGCCCTTTTGAATGCTTGCTCCTCTGGCCCCCACCTCACCTCACGCCACGATGATGGGTGTGGGACTTGGGGTTTTTGATGGGTTGTGCCACCACCAGCGCAACAGCTGCGCACAGCCAGCGAGCGCGTCGGGTGTCTTGGCAGCAGGCGGCGTCCCCTTGGGCCTGATGCTGATCGCACCGCGTGCCTCAACCATGCCAGGGTGGACCCGAACACTCCTGTGGCCGAGACTTTTGCAGAGATGAAGGTGGGCGGACGGCTGAGGGTCCATCTGTGTCTGGTCACATGGTTCAATGAGCACGCATTACCGCTGACATGCGCCTTCACAGCGCAACATTGCAGGCCCTTCATACGGCCTGTGATTGCTCCAATGTGTGGAGCACCTTCCTCCTTAGCTTGCAAATCGCCTTGCCAAAGACTCAGTCAGCTGTGAGCTTGCGTACTAATTTGTTCATCATCACAAGCAACCCGCGCACCTGAAAAACCGCATCGATCAGCCGCCATCACCAACCACCCAACCAACCGCGATCCACCGCCGCCCCACCGCAGGCCCTGCAGGCTGAGGGCAAGGTGCGCCACGTGGGCATCAGCGAGGCGTCACCCGATGACATACGCGCGGCCCACGCGGTGACGCCCCTGAGCGCGGTGCAGCTGGAGTGGTCCCTCTGGTCCCGAGACGTGGAGGTGCGCGGCAGTGCACCTTCACATGGACTTCATGGAATGTTGATCACGATCGTAAACCGCTGTCCTGTTACATGGGTGGTCACATTGTAAGAATGCCCTGGCCTGCGTGCGTGTGTGTGTGCACGTGTTTGGTGCCGCTCGTGTTAGTGTGTGTCGGTGCATGTGTGTGTGCGTGCGTGCGCATGCGTGTGTGCGTGCGCGCGCGCACGTGCAGGTGCATCTGCCGTGTGTTTGCGCGGTGCAACATCATCCGCAACTCCTCCCTTTCGCCCCCTCCTTCACCCCTCCCCCCCAAGGATGACATCATCCCGGTCTGCCGCGAGCTGGGCATTGGAATTGTAGCCTACTCACCCCTCGGTCGCGGTTTCCTCACGGGTGCGCCCGTCTGTGGTTGGGTCAAAATGCTTGGAATAGTGACCGGGAAAATATCAGAATCAGGATCAGGATTAGGATGGTCAGCGTCACGCCGTCGCCCGTATCTGTGGCTAACCAGGTACAACCCTCCGGACACTTCCCCTGTGCTCCATGCGCCGGCGCCCGCAGGCGCCATGCCGCCGCCCGAGCAGCTGCCTGAAAACGACTTCCGTCGCAACCAGCCGCGATTCAAGGAGTACGAGAAGGCGAGCGGGCGCATGCATGACAGGCGCTGCCGTAGATTGCAGCTGCCACTTGCTACAGCCGCTTGCCACTGCGGACCGCTCTTGCATGTTTCTCCCGCCTGCATGTTTCTCCCGCCTGCATTGCTTGGTCCTGAGGGTATCAATTTCGCCTCCCAAAAGTACTCTGCGTGTGTGCAAACCTGATCTTTGTCTTGGTCCATCAGTGCACCCATACGCCCCGAATCCCTCATTCCGCATTCGTCCCATGCACTCGTATGACGCTCAAACAACTGTGAGCAATACTCACCATGCACACCCCCCCTCCGCCCTCCCTGCATGTGCCTCCCAATTTGCACCCTGCGTGCCGGTCTCCCTCAACCCTCAAACCCCCAGAACATGGCCCTGGTGGAGAAAATCAAGGGTGTGGCGGCCGCCAAGGGCTGCACCCCCGCGCAGCTGGCGCTGGCCTGGGTCATCTCCCGGGGCAGTGACGTCGTCCCCATCCCCGGCACCACCAAGGTGGGCGTGCCCTGAACTGCTGAGGGTGTTTGTGTGTGAGGGTTTAGGGTTTGGGGTTTGGGGTTTGGGGGTTGGGGTTGGATGGTCGGTGGGGGGCGCAGCATGGGGCAGTGACGTGCCCGTGAAAGGCCGTGAGCATGCGCGGCTGGTGTTGCATGGCCAAGGCAGGCGCCTGTTGCTGGGGGGATTGCAGGTGCGGCAGAAGCCGGGCCCAGGCATGCCCCACACAGGGGGATGACTGGGCACGGCTGTGCACGGCTGTGCATGCCGTGCCTGGCTGGGGGGCGTGGGCATGCGGATGTCTTGCAATTCAGGGAAGGAAAAGTCCAGCCTGGAGAAAAAATAAATGCCTATAAATGGACGTCGTTCATGCGCAGTAAGTTTACAGCGCATTGTAGAGGATTCGATCATCCTTCTCAATGCACTGTGAAGCCACTGCGCATTGCACTTCATGCTGGCACCAGCTGTCAACCCCTTGGCTGACGACTGCAGGAGAATCACCCCGGTCAAAAGCGGTCAAACACGTCGAATCTCTTGGTCAAACCCTGCAGGTGGCGCGTCTGGAGGAGAACGTGGGTGCCTTGGCCGTGGAGCTCACCTCCGCTGACCTGGCGGCACTGGATGGGCTGGGGGCGGAGGTGCAGGGTGACCGCTACCCAGACATGAAGAGTGGGTTCATGGGCTGGGAGGGCCCGCTGCAACCTTACTTGCTGCATGCTGTGTTATGCCCATGCGACGCAGGCTGCAGCCCACACCAGCGGGGAAGCCATGCCGCGCTTGTTGCCCGCATTGCAATGGGTTCAAAATCAAGTTCAGAGGATTCAGGGCTACATGCTTCACCTGAAATAATGTATTGTAGAATAATATTTCAAGGATGCCGGCAGGCGTTTTGCGGCCTGATCACCCCTTCACTGTCCCCCCCCCCGGCATGACAACCTGCAGGCATGACATACCACTATGGTCGCAAGTGATAGGTAGCAAATGGAAACTTGAAAATAGCATATTGGTTGGCTGGAGGGGTTGCACTGCGCACATGTAACAACTGTGCCATTGTGTCGCTGGTGTATGCCAGGGCCAATTGCATCAAATACAGTAAAGGCCATGGTTGCCTGCTTTGAAGCAGTCTTCCAGGTCCCCAATCGAGTCCGAGGTGCCTCGCGTGCGACGCAAGTGGAGGACACCCCTCCACTCAACGTGCCACCCCCTTCCATTGCTGCAAGCATTGGCGACCAGGGTGTTGGGATCCACCCTGTGGGGCTTTGAGCAGGGGCTGCAGGCGGCGTGTCAATCAGCAGGCCGAGGGGCAAAGTGGACCAGCGCGCAACAGCAGCCTGGGCACGCAGCGCTCGCTCGTACCTGTGGACACCCATTCGACTGCTGGGCTTCACCTTACTGCCAGGGCACCACTCCTAGCTGCGGGCCACACCTCACAATTGCTCTCAGTTTACAGCCGGCTGTCTGCATCATCAGTGTTTGGTGTTGGTTGGCCGCTTTGTCGCTTTTAGCGGGCGAGTCGGCTCGTGGAGCGCAACATGAAAGATCTGTTATGTTGTAGTGTATTGTTTACGTCTTGGATGACATCAGCACGTGGTCACTGCGTCCGTCCACCGTTGATGACGAACGCGCCCGGCACACGAGGCATGCAGCTGCTGCTACACACCAGACTACCAATGTGTCGTGATAAAGGCAGTCATCAATCGATTCGCACATCCGAGAGGGGGTGCACCAGAAAGATCTCCAGTGCTTGCAATTTCGCGGGAATCCAGCGCGCTCCGGTGTGGCAAAACGACTTGTGACCGTAAGGTTACAGCGTCTAGCAGTGGCTTCAGCCCGGTGTCCGTGATGGTGGCAGGGCAATGCGGCGGCACCCATGAACCCAAGCGGCCGTGATGGGCACGGCACCCCAAGCCTGAACTCACCTCCACCTCCCTCCTCCCTTGTCAATGCCTGGAATAGGAGTCACTTTGATCCCGCGCGTGGCAAGTGCACCCTGACCACACCACCACCCTTCGACAGCAACAGACCAAGATGGCATTTCCTGTCGTGCCCAAACGAGCCCTTGGCAAGCAGGTGGGGCTTCCCAAAGCAGCATCTCGCCTCCTTGCTTGCTGGAGCCCCACTTGCAGCAGCAACGAGCCAGAAAAAATTCAGTGTGCCTCCTCCCACCAGGCGCGCTAAGTGGCCACGCGCAGGCGCATTGCAGCCGGCGTCCCCTCGAATCGCCCCGCAGCGGCCGACGTCGTCGCCACCGGCGCCCCCGCCAGCGCCGCCAGCCCCGCAAGTAGCCTCAGCAGATGGCCGTCACACAGGAACGCCAATCTTTGGGTCGAAGAGCCTGAATTTCATCCCGCCCCACCACAGAGCCTTCCCAGTGCTGATGACAATAAACCCTGCTGACCTGCAGCCCACAGCTTTACGACCGCTGAGTCGACGATACCGCCATGCAGAATCTTTGCCGTAATCATGACTGCCAGTCCACAGGCCGAAGCAAACCCATTGGACCTGCATAAAACCTCAACCCTCTCACAACGCAATCAAATCTAACCTTAGGGCCTGCAGGTCTCTGCCCTGGGGCTGGGCTGCATGAGGCTGTCGTTTGCCTACGGTAGCCCCACAGAGGAGGGCGCGGCGCTGGCCGTCATCCACCGGGCACTGGAGCTGGGGGTGACGCTGCTGGACACAAGTGACATGTACGGCCCCTTCACAAACGAGGTGGGCAGGTGGGGGAGGGGCGTAAGGGGTGGGGGCAGTACTGGCCGATGGATGTTGGGGCCAGCAGGTTCCAGGGGGGCTCAATGCCAGCCGGCCAAGCAAGCCGAGTGAGCAAATAGGGCGAAGTGTGCGTGGGTGTTTGAATTAAGATTAGCAGGGAGCTTGCGCGGCCCCCCAGGCCGGCGCTGCCGTTGACCGGGCTGCTGACCAGCACCCTGTTTTGCAGGCGCGGGAGGGCGTGTCAGCAGGGCACGCCTGCCCTCAGCAGCCCTGCTCGGGCCGCACAGGCGCCCTGTGATGACGTCATCGGGGGGCGGCGAGGACGGCGCCTTCCCCTGGCCCACTGCCTTCGCCCCCAAGTCCACCGCCGGCCCCTGTGCTGCCACTTTCTTCGGCCCCTTCAGATCCTTTCCCTTATCGCTCCATTCTGCCACCCCACCACTGCGAACCGTCTTCCATCCTGCCTGCCTTGCTCTCCTCAACCCTGCCCACCGCCGCGCCCCGGCCCCTAGGAGCTGGTGGGCCGCGCCATCAAGGGTCGGCGGGATCAGTACACGATCGCCACAAAGTGCGGCATCATACTCGGGTGCGTACGCCTGGGAGCTCCTGGCATCTGCTACCTTTGCTTGGCGACACATGCAGTCGCTGCTGGTGCCGACTCCGCGCAATTCACTGCAAAAGCGCATCTCGAGTCATGGCAACATTTGGGCTGTGATGTGCGTCGGCCCGCGCAGTCGGCCGGTTGAAGAGCAGATTGCCCGTCTCCTGACGCTTTGCGTGCGCCTGCAAGGTGGGGCTGTGCCTCATCCCTCCCTTGCAGCCTAGCCTCCCTTCCTGCTGCGTAGCTGCGGCCGCTCCAGCATTGCGCATGCCGTCGACCGGCGGGCCCGAATCTTCCGCGGCCGTCGCCGATGCTGCTGCTGCCGCCAACAATTCCCGGGGCGGATCCTTTGTGCTGGGACCTGAGTGCAGCTTTTGAAGACTGCAGTGATCATGCTTGCCAGGTACACCCTGCTAGGCACACACAAGCGCCCCCTCAGCATGAGCCTGTTGGACACCATCGTATATCTTATGCCCCCACCCAGGCAAGACGGCAGCCGCTCGCTCAACGGCAGCCGCGCCCACGTGCGCGCGGCGTGCGAGGCGTCCCTGAAGCGCCTGGGCATCGAGACAATCGATCTTTACTACCTCCACAGGTGGGCTGGCGGCCTAAGACAAAAGCAGAAGAGTTGGGCCTTAGCAACCATTTCGAATATCTAGTACCTTTTCATAAGCCCTTCTGACATCGCTTCTCTGTCTCTTCCTCACCTCGTGTGCTGAGGCCGGGCGTTCAACACGGGTTTTCTGGTGGGTGGCGTCGCCTCAGTAGCGACGGCAGCGCACGGGCGGCGACCGCATCGGGCGCCCAGGCATGTTTCAGGCCGCCGCGCGCGCCACCCTCAACAACGCCCGCATCCCCATCCGGGCCCCTGCCAGGGTGGACCCAAAAACCCCAGTGGTCGAGACGTTTGCAGAGATGAAGGTTTGCAGCTGCAGGGGAATCCTGCTGATGGAGTCATGTGTTTGGATGAGCACGCCCTACTGTCAACATGCGTTTTTACGACGCACCGTTGCAGGCGCTTCGTTCTGCCTGGTCTTGCCTTGGAGCAGCTGATGAGCTCCCTCCACACCTTGCCAATCTCCCGGTCAAATACCTTGTGCATCTGCTGCAAACCCGCGCAATTACTCATCACACATGAACCCACATATATGATCGACTGCATCGATCAGCCACCAACATCCACTACGCAACCGTCGCCCCACCGCCGCCCACCCCAGGCGCTGCAGGCGGAGGGCAAGGTACGCCACGTGGGCATCAGCGAGGCGTCACCGGATGACATACGCGCGGCCCACGCGGTGACGCCCCTCAGCGCGGTGCAGCTGGAGTGGTCCCTCTGGACCCGAGACGTGGAGGTGTGCTTACCCAGGCTCAGACCATTTGATGATGTGCTGTGGCTGTCTGTTTCCAATCGCATCCCTGCGTGACGTCCTTGCATTGCAGGCCTCACTTTACTGAGCATCTTGCTGCCGGAAGCCTCTCTTTTGATTAAGGCCGTTCCTTCATCCCCTTCCTCTCCATTGCTCCCTGCCTGGCCCACCTAACCGCACGCCAACCCATTCAGTCATCCGCCTTTTGTTGCCTTGAAGACGCGGCCCTTGCATGCATGGCCCCAGGGGCCCACCTTAACCTTAAACCCTAAACCCTGAATCGTGGGGCCCCACACCAATTTCTGCTCTCCCTTGCTCGAAGCCCTTCATCCCCGACGAGCCCCCGCCATTCAGCGTCCTGTGTGGCCTCCATCTGACTGGCCCACCCGCGCACGCCCTCACTGTTTCACGCGGCCCCCGTCTGCCCCTCGTCTCAAAAAAACATCCCGTTGTATACCTCGGTGTATACAACGTGCAGAACAATACAACTGATACATGGGAATCCTCGTTGTATTACACGACTTGTATACAACGTTGTTTACAACGAGAAACAACGGACGGTTGTTTACAACGGGAAACAACAGGGGTCTGTGTTGTATACATACCTGCCCTGCGGCTGGGCGGCGCATGCGCTTTCATGGTGCTTCTATGGCTGCTGTGCTGCTGGTGCCAAGCCTGGTGATGCCACCCTGTCATGGTGCACCTGAGATTACACAAAGCGTGCCGTCATCGCTGCCATGTTCATTGTTGCAAGCCCACTTGCGGCTGTGACTAAATGTGCAGCAAGTTGCTAAATGCCCATATTGTGGTGGAAGGGGGCTAAACAAGCAAGTGGTCTGCACAAAACACCTTGCATGTTGCGAGCATGTGTGCAGCCCTATGCACTATAAGGACCGTGCCAACGGCTATCGTGAAATCCCTCAAACAAATGTGTGAAGAATGGGGGTATACAACACTTGCACGCCAGTACTCGCCGCTAGCTAGCTCAGCAACACCACTGGCAGCTGCCACCCTTTGTTCATACCATGCCTGCAACCTAAAGAGCCGCTTGCCGACTTTCCATCAACGGTTGCAGCACAGCTTCCTCTGCTGCTGTTGCTGCTGCTATCCTTGCATGGGAGACATCAAAGGGTTGACGCAGTGGGTACAACCGTTGCGCTCCCCAAGGCTTGTTGTGCGGACAAGGCTTGTCCGCACTGGATCCCAGCGCCACAGGCATTCTCCCTCAATTAGTGCACCCATTGGCATGCCCCCGCTCTCTCAATCACACACAGCCCCTCGTCCCCAAGTGACCCTGCTGCAAGTCCCCCCACAACCTCAAAACCCCTGCCGCCCCCCCTCCTTCACCCCCCCTCAAAGGATGACATCATCCCGGTCTGCTGCAAGCTGGGCATTGGAATCGTTGTATACTCGCCCCTTGGCGCCGGCTTCCTTACGGGTAGGCGCATCTGTGGGTGGCCTAAAAACAACATCTGGATAATCATCGGGGTGAAAATCAGGGTTAGGATTGATTTGACCATGGCGTCCCGCGATCCCTCCTTCTATGCATGGGCCCCCGCAGGCGCCATGCCGCCGCCCGAGCACCTGTCCGAGGACGACTTCCGCCGCAACTCGCCGCGCTTCCAGGCGTACGAGAAGGCGAGCGGGCACCCCCTTGATACACAGCATGCGCTGCTGCTCACCGCCGCGGCCGCTGGCTGCGCCCGGTTGCCATCGCCCATCGCCTCTGCTACTGCCTGCTCCCTGCATTGTGTTGTCTACGAGGCCAGGGTACTACTGTTGGTTGAAAACGTTTGATCATGTGGCTGCAAGTCTGAGCTTCGTATTGGTCCACCAGCGTCCCCGTGCCGGCACGCACCCGTGCGCCCCAAACCCCTGATTCCACACTCCTTGCACTTAATCCTGCGATGCTCAAACAACCCCCACAACACCCCTGCAAGTCCCCGCTCCCAACCCCTGCCCTGCGAGCCCCTGCCAACACACCCTCCCTCCCTTCCTTGTAT